CGTGGTCAAAATGTCGACAGGTATGTTTTTATTGCCTCTCCATATAATTTTTGTTTGTTTAACTTCCGTGAAATTACGCCATGCGAAGGTGTCAACTTAAAAAAAATTTTTGTTTTTATAGAATTTTATTTTTTAGCAAAATACGCAAACGATCTAGGAAAGAACTGTGAAATAACCCTATGTTATCGAAAAGGTTGCGCACCATTGCCACCACCAGGACACTACGGACAGCCGAAAGTACTGTACACATGCAGTGGTGTGAATCCATCGAACAGTATTAGCCGAGGACTGCGTCATATACCAGGCAGCCCGGAACGTATCCTGGATTTGCCCAATTTTATGGATGACTACTGTAAGCATCAGTCACTTTGTTTTGGATATTTTTGGGCAAGTTTTGGGGTTCCAAAAATCCCCTGTCTTTTTTTTGACCATCTTGCTATTCGTAAAAATGTAGGCAATTCGAAATCTGCTGTGCAAAGCACCTTTGCTGCCTAGTTCTTGGTTATCGCACTCTTAACAAGTAGATTGTAGCAACCAGGTTGACACTGGAAGCCTAAATGGCAAAGGTGCGATATAAGAGAATATAAGAGAGGAAGGTAAGAGTGAGATAATACGTTTCGGTCTGGTATACTAAGAGGTTTCCTATTTAGGTTTTCATTCTGATATATCTTATTCACCTTACTTTTATTCTCTTACTTTTAAACCCTTACTTTTTACATAAACACACATCATCTGAAATTAAAATTACAATACTAAGAGATAAGATTACAATATACGCCTTAACTCAACACCGCGCAACAGGACCTCGTCAGTATGACGGTCGCAGTGCTTAATGGAAAAGGAAGAGAGAGGAAGACGACAGAAAGAAGCAGGAAAACGATATGATAGTGGGATTAGATGGAGAAAGAGTGGGGTGAAGAAAGAAGGGAAAAGGAAGGAGAAAGAAAAAGATTTTAGAAAAAGAAAATTCATGAAAATTTGTGTGTTTAGACAGGAACGCGATTCACTGGAGCTCAGACAACATCATAGCAGTTGCATTAACCAATTCTGTATATCTCTGGAACGCATCATCCGGCGAAATTTCTGTAAGTGTTATTTTCCAGTCCATAGCTGCTAGCAAAAGCTAAGCAATATTGAAAATGGTAGGCGCTTTGGAATTTTTCTTTTAGTTCCAGAAAAGGAAGCGAAATGGCGATGATAGTGGTAGGGAAGGAACATGCGAGTTTTTCAAAGAGAAACGATTTCG